GGGGGGGGGGGGGGGGAGACAGAGGGGTGATAATAGTCTGTAATTATAATACATACATCCTCATCATTATTAATGTATGACATAAAGTATCTTCCTCTTAGAGAGAGTGGATATTATGGTTCAATTGAGAGAGAGGGAGAGAGAGGGGACAAGGGGGGTGGTTACTAGAATCTGTTAGAGTCCCGAATGTATTGCTGAGTATGCATGAATATCGTTATGTTTTCCTGTTCCGAAAGAGATGTATCTCCAAATAGAAGTAGATTTAAATTAAGAGTCATGTATTCATATAGTTCACGATAAAGCTTAATTCTTTGTTCGTTATATATATCACAGGTAAAAAAGAAATGGTGTGTGTCTTCGTATAGGTCAACAGGACACATCTATCTAAAGTGCTTCTGATTGTTAGAACATCCTCTAGTTAGCAAATTCGAGTAAAATTATACAATGTAAACCTGTTCTATTCACCTTTACAATACGTACAGTTTGAATGGGGGAATCAATCAACTATTGGTGAACTGGCGTATTTCATATTTTACCATTTTACAAGAATGAGGGTTGATGATGGAAGGAGGAGACAGATGGTAACGTCGTGACAATCGTTGGACTTATATCAAACTAAGGATGATGTTTAATTGCATTAGAAAAAAAATGGTTAAAGTAGAATCCGAAACGCTAATTGATTTCAATAATGTTCAAGAGCGTTAATACAAAATGGAAATGTCGGAAACAAGGATGACAAGAAACACATCAACTTGAACAAAAGAATCAAAAGGAGAGACATCATGCATCCCAAAAGAAACTCTGGAAGCAAAAAGTCAGCAAAATAATCTCATTCGAAAGGAAAAAACACTACTTATTAATTAATTGCCCTTTTATCTAATTCCTACCTGTAAGAGGTTGATCTGGTCCTTTGCCTATTTATCTTATTCCTACCTTAGAGAGATTGATCTGGTTCTTTGCCTTTTTTCGTGAGAGGTTGATCTGGTCCTTTGCCTATTTATCTTATTTCTACCTTTGAGAGGTTGGTCTGGTCCTTTGCCTATTTATCTTATTCCTACCTTTGAGAGGTTGATCTGGTCCTTTGCCTATTTATCTTATTGCTACCTTTGAGAGGTTGATCTGGTCCTTTGCCTATTTATCTTATTCCTACCTGTGAGAGGTTGATCTGGTCCTTTGCCTATTTATCTTATTCCTACCTGTGAGAGGTTGATCTGGTCCTTTGCCTATTTATCTTATTCCTACCTGTGAGAGGTTGATCTGGTCCTTTGCCTATTTATCTTATTCCTACCTGTGAGAGGTTGATCTGGTCCTTTGCCTATTTATCTTATTCCTACCTGTGAGAGGTTGATCTGGTCCTTTGCCTATTTATCTTATTCCTACCTGTGAGAGGTTGATCTGGTCCTTTGCCTATTTATCTTATTCCTACCTGTGAGAGGTTGATCTGGTCCTTTGCCTATTTATCTTATTCCTACCTGTGAGAGGTTGATCTGGTCCTTTGCCTATTTATCTTATTCCTACCTGTGAGAGGTTGATCTGGTCCTTTGCCTATTTATCTTATTCCTACCTGTGAGAGGTTGATCTGGTCCTTTGCCTATTTATCTTATTCCTACCTGTGAGAGGTTGATCTGGTCCTTTGCCTATTTATCTTATTCCTACCTGTGAGAGGTTGATCTGGTCCTTTGCCTATTTATCTTATTCCTACCTGTGAGAGGTTGATCTGGTCCTTTGCCTATTTATCTTATTCCTACCTGTGAGAGGTTGATCTGGTCCTTTGCCTATTTATCTTATTCCTACCTGTGAGAGGTTGATCTGGTCCTTTGCCTATTTATCTTATTCCTACCTGTGAGAGGTTGATCTGGTCCTTTGCCTATTTATCTTATTCCTACCTGTGAGAGGTTGATCTGGTCCTTTGCCTATTTATCTTATTCCTACCTGTGAGAGGTTGATCTGGTCCTTTGCCTATTTATCTTATTCCTACCTGTGAGAGGTTGATCTGGTCCTTTGCCTATTTATCTTATTCCTACCTGTGAGAGGTTGATCTGGTCCTTTGCCTATTTATCTTATTCCTACCTGTGAGAGGTTGATCTGGTCCTTTGCCTATTTATCTTATTCCTACCTGTGAGAGGTTGATCTGGTCCTTTGCCTATTTATCTTATTCCTACCTGTGAGAGGTTGATCTGGTCCTTTGCCTATTTATCTTATTCCTACCTGTGAGAGGTTGATCTGGTCCTTTGCCTATTTATCTTATTCCTACCTGTGAGAGGTTGATCTGGTCCTTTGCCTATTTATCTTATTCCTACCTGTGAGAGGTTGATCTGGTCCTTTGCCTATTTATCTTATTCCTACCTGTGAGAGGTTGATCTGGTCCTTTGCCTATTTATCTTATTCCTACCTGTGAGAGGTTGATCTGGTCCTTTGCCTATTTATCTTATTCCTACCTGTGAGAGGTTGATCTGGTCCTTTGCCTATTTATCTTATTCCTACCTGTGAGAGGTTGATCTGGTCCTTTGCCTATTTATCTTATTCCTACCTGTGAGAGGTTGATCTGGTCCTTTGCCTATTTATCTTATTCCTACCTGTGAGAGGTTGATCTGGTCCTTTGCCTATTTATCTTATTCCTACCTGTGAGAGGTTGATCTGGTCCTTTGCCTATTTATCTTATTCCTACCTGTGAGAGGTTGATCTGGTCCTTTGCCTATTTATCTTATTCCTACCTGTGAGAGGTTGATCTGGTCCTTTGCCTATTTATCTTATTCCTACCTGTGAGAGGTTGATCTGGTCCTTTGCCTATTTATCTTATTCCTACCTGTGAGAGGTTGATCTGGTCCTTTGCCTATTTATCTTATTCCTACCTGTGAGAGGTTGATCTGGTCCTTTGCCTATTTATCTTATTCCTACCTGTGAGAGGTTGATCTGGTCCTTTGCCTATTTATCTTATTCCTACCTGTGAGAGGTTGATCTGGTCCTTTGCCTATTTATCTTATTCCTACCTGTGAGAGGTTGATCTGGTCCTTTGCCTATTTATCTTATTCCTACCTGTGAGAGGTTGATCTGGTCCTTTGCCTATTTATCTTATTCCTACCTGTGAGAGGTTGATCTGGTCCTTTGCCTATTTATCTTATTCCTACCTGTGAGAGGTTGATCTGGTCCTTTGCCTATTTATCTTATTCCTACCTGTGAGAGGTTGATCTGGTCCTTTGCCTATTTATCTTATTCCTACCTGTGAGAGGTTGATCTGGTCCTTTGCCTATTTATCTTATTCCTACCTGTGAGAGGTTGATCTGGTCCTTTGCCTATTTATCTTATTCCTACCTGTGAGAGGTTGATCTGGTCCTTTGCCTATTTATCTTATTCCTACCTGTGAGAGGTTGATCTGGTCCTTTGCCTATTTATCTTATTCCTACCTGTGAGAGGTTGATCTGGTCCTTTGCCTATTTATCTTATTCCTACCTGTGAGAGGTTGATCTGGTCCTTTGCCTATTTATCTTATTCCTACCTGTGAGAGGTTGATCTGGTCCTTTGCCTATTTATCTTATTCCTACCTGTGAGAGGTTGATCTGGTCCTTTGCCTATTTATCTTATTCCTACCTGTGAGAGGTTGATCTGGTCCTTTGCCTATTTATCTTATTCCTACCTGTGAGAGGTTGATCTGGTCCTTTGCCTATTTATCTTATTCCTACCTGTGAGAGGTTGATCTGGTCCTTTGCCTATTTATCTTATTCCTACCTGTGAGAGGTTGATCTGGTCCTTTGCCTATTTATCTTATTCCTACCTGTGAGAGGTTGATCTGGTCCTTTGCCTATTTATCTTATTCCTACCTGTGAGAGGTTGATCTGGTCCTTTGCCTATTTATCTTATTCCTACCTGTGAGAGGTTGATCTGGTCCTTTGCCTATTTATCTTATTCCTACCTGTGAGAGGTTGATCTGGTTCTTTGCCTATTTATCTTATTCCTATCTGTGAGAGGTTGATCTGGTCCTTTGCCTATTTATCTTATTCCTACCTGTGAGAGGTTGATCTGGTCCTTTGACTATTTATCTTATTCCTACCTGTGAGAGGTTGATCTGGTCCTTTGACTATTTATCTTATTCCTACCTGTGAGAGGTTGATCTGGCTCTTTGCCTATCTATCTTATTCCTACCTGTGAGAGGTTGATCTGGTTCTTTGACTATTTATCTTATTCCTACCTTTGAGACGTTGGTCTGGTTCTTTGCCTATTTATCTTATTCCCACCTGTGATAGGTTGATCTGGTTCTTTACCTATTTATCTAATTCCTATCTGTGAGAGGTTGATCTGGTCCTTTGACTATTTATCTTATTCCTACCTGTGAGAGGTTGATCTGGTCCTTTGACTATTTATCTTATTCCTACCTGTGATAGGTTGATCTGGTTCTTTGCCTATTTATCTCATTGTTACCTTTGAGAGGTTGATCTGGTCCTTTGCCTATCTATCTTATTCCTACCTGTGAGAGGTTGATCTGGCTCTTTGCCTATCTATCTTATTCCTACCTGTGAGAGGTTGATCTGGTCGTTTGACTATTTATCTTATTCCTACCTGTGATAGGTTGATCTGGTTCTTTGCCTATTTATCTTATTCCTTCCTGTGAGAGATTGATCTGGTTCTTTGCCTATCTATCTTATTCATAGATGTGAGAGGTTGATCTGCTTCTTTATATGATTTAGTAGGATGAATCGCGTTCGATAAGGGTAGTGTCCACATATGCTAGGCTTCCCACCAGCTGAGGGCTTTTGGAAATCGCTTGACTAGCTCCATTCTACCCCGACACTGGTTTGGAGATCACGTGAGTTTTAATAACGTGAGTCAGTCTTTGTCAACGTCTATCAGTGCTCACAAAGAAAACCATAAGTGCCTTTAAGGTTTTTTAAATTCTTTTATTGTGAAATGTTAAATAAATAACAAATATCACGTGATCTGGTTCCGATCACATCGTGACGTGTGCGTAGATATACAAAGCAATATATCACTGTACCGACACGTAGATATATAAAACAATATATCACTGTACCGACACGTAGATATATAAAACAATATATCACTGTACCGACACGTAGATATATAAAACACGATATCACTGTACCGACACATAGATATATAAAATACTATATCACTGTACCGACACGTAGCTATATATATAACAATATCAATGTACCGACACGAAAGTTCTCGTGTTGAAAAGTACAACTTGTCAAGGCAGAAGATCTCGCTTTCTACACAAACGTTCCGTTGTAACGATTTGTGATCCAGTTGATCTCCGTATTGATACAATTCATATCGAATGTCAACTGTATGTACATGATGTGTGACCCTGTGAGTTAATCTATAAACAATATGCTGTCCTGATATTGCTCACATCGCTGTTACCGGACGCTTCGCCAACCAGGCCTTAATCTTTGGTTGTGATTGGACCTTCTCATAGTTGGCCTTGACTTTTGGTGCCAAAGCCATAAACTTGTCGCCCTCTGTCTGTGATATACCAAAAAGAACGTCATATAATGCGATGTCGGCGACCGATATCTGTAAGATAAAACAGGCAGTCTTTATATAACACTGAGATTAACAAAGCATTGTAATTCTGTCATCAATTAAACATACTAATGGGCCAAATCTGCACAAAGCAATGCTGTATCGTTTATTTTATTAAGAAATGTTTTATTTTTTGAAAAATTTGTTTTAAATATTATGTAAATATTACAAAATTAATTGCTCCTCAGCTTGAGATACTGATACTTGACCTTCACTCGTTCCGTTCCTGGAGGCCTGGTACGGAATATTGTATAATGCACCGAGGGTTTGTTAACGAGATAAGTGTGCTTTAAATGGTTTATCGAAGTTACTCACCTTTTCCCCAATAATCCAACCAGATTTACCGATTTTGGTTTCTGTCATCTTCAGAAATTTAGGTAGAATTTCCCCTGCAAACTCCTTCGTGAGCTCGGCCTGGTCAGGGAAATGAAAGCATCATGTCCGTGAATGGATTAATTTAATAACCGCTACATGTTTATTAGACAATCTATGTAACATTTGCGACGGTAAAACTATGCGTATCATTGTAAATGACAATAAAAACAATGAAATAAAGAGTCAACATAAAGTTTAGAACTATTTGGAAGTGCATTAAATGTGAGGGGGGATAGCGGTACATCGACAGTTTTCAAAATACAAAATCATGTACACTGTCATGACAAACACGTACCTTTTTGGCTTCGTCTTTTTCAAATACCGGGGCGAATATTTTTGTCATAAAGTCTACAATGTTGCAGAGGTATTCGTCTATCATACAACTCTCCAGTTTATTCTTCCCATTCAATCCTGTTTCAATAATATCAGGTATGAGTATAACAATGAATTAAACATTTAAATAAATAAAACAAATATTTCATAATTAAGAAATTAATTTACAGACAAACACAAGGAATACATGACATTACTTTAGCGAACAACAATATACACGAGCATACTGATAAAACATAATGGTATGGGAATCACAGGTATAGTCTGTGATAATGGTGCGGGAATCACAGGTATAGTCTGTGATAATGGTACGGGAATTATAGGTATAGTCTGTGATAATGGTATGGGAATCACAGGTATAGTCTCTCTGTGATAATGGTACGGGAATCACATGTTTAGTTTCTCTGTGATAATGGTACGGGAATCACAGGTATAGTCTCTCTGTGATAATGTTACGGGAATCACATGTTTAGTTTCTCTGTGATAATGGTACGGGAATCAAAGGTATAGTCTCTCTGAGATAATGGTATGGGAATCACAGGTATAGTCTCTCTGTGATAATGGTACGGGAATTACAGGTTTGGTCTCTCTGTGATAATGGTACGGGAATCACAGGTAGAGTCTCTCTGTGATAATGGTACGGGAATCACAGGTATAGTCTCTCTGAGATAATGGTATGGGAATCACAGGTATAGTCTCTCTGTGATAATGGTACGGGAATTACAGGTTTAGTCTCTCTGTGATAATGGTATGGGAATCACAGGTCTAGTTTCTCAGTGATAATGGTAAGGGAATCACAGGTATAGTCTCTCTGTGATAATGGTACGGGAATCACAGGTAGAGTCTCTCTGTGATAATGGTACGGGAATCACAGGTAAAGTCTCTCTGTGATAATGGTACGGGAATCACAGGTATAGTCTCTCTGTGATAATCGTACGGGAATCACAGGTAGAGTCTCTCTGTGATAATGGTACGGGAATCACAGGTATAGTCTCTCTGTGATAATGGTACGGGAATCACAGGTATAGTCTGTGATATTGGTACGGGAATCACAGGTATAGTCTCTCTGTGATAATGGTACGGGAATCACAGGTATAGTCAGTTATAATGGTAAGGGAATCACAGGTAGAGTCTGTGATAATGGTACGGGAATCACAGGTATAGTCTCTCTGTGATAATGATACGGGAATCCCAGGTATAGTCTCTCTGTGATAATGGTAAGGGAATCACAGGTATAGTCAGTGATAATGGTAAGGGAATCACAGGTATAGTCTGTGATAATGGTACGGGAATCACAGGTATAGTCTCTCTGTGATAATGGTACTGGAATCACAGGTATAGACTACGATATTGGTACGGGAATCACAGACATCGGTCGTGGTTATTGTTTATGGAATTATATAATACACGTATGGAGCTTTATATCACGATAATTGCCCAGGACATGCACAGCTTTCAAACATAAAACAAGAAAAAGAGAAATTGATATATAAATGGTTTTCTTCATACATTTGTATGTGTATTGATTAACGTATTACACCTAGTAGTGAGTGTATTCTTACAGAGGGTCGAACGTCCGAGGAGGAATAATATTAAATTTTGTACTTCACTAAGTAGTTTTTGATTTACATAAACCTTCGAGATATGTCAATGTGTATAGACATTACATAACAACATTATTTTATCAGACTAAAATTTACAAGAAAATTTTCATTTCTTTCTATCCTATTTTATGATTGATACGGACAGTCCATGAATATGATTAAAACAATCTTGAACATTTTAGCGTATGCTTGAGCATACAAGCATGCATGTAGGCTTCGCCACTGTTTTAGATGATTTTTTTTTTATCAAAAAGAACCGAAACGATTCAGATATGTAACTTAAGATATCATTCGATAGATACCTCGTTACAGACAATTTACAAGCATATGGAGGGGAGAACGTTCTTACCGAACTCAGAAGCCAAATATCTTGCAATAGCCATACTCTGCCCGATCTGCTTCCCTTCAACATCCAAAAATGGCAAAGTTCCATTTGGGGTTTCTAAAAGGAGACAATCGAGGCGTGATAAATGATATGATTAATAATAAAAATGATAATAACAAAAACAAGAGCTGACGGTCGTTTTATACGTTTCTCTTCCCTTTTCAGTTCTCTTCAACATCGTAACTACCTTGAGACAGTTGGTACACAAAGCAGTTTTCATTTCATTCCAACAAATTTTATTGACATAGATTGAAGAGTCAGATGAATTGAATAACAGGAAAACCTATATAAATTATCTTCATGGGTGGCCAAACTGTTAAGACTCATATAATATTGTTAATTTATTAAGAAGTATCTATGAAATGAAAAATATCAACAAAGTAAAGGAATAAGCATTCCACCATTGTGATCGTGATTACAAGTCAACGATTTGTACCTCTTTTCGTTAATAACCAAGCTTTCGGATATGCAAAATATCAGTTTCGAATGTGTCTAATGATCATTTTGAATGTGTCTAACGCTCATTTAGACTTTGGCCGTAAAACAAATAATTTCCAAAGTGACACATCATCTGAAGTTTTGATGATGCATATGTGTTGCAAATGAACTAATCAAAATGGCTTTTTCATTTTTCGATTATTTGACCCCTGTGACCATGACAGAAGGTCAATGTCAGTTCTTTTAAGTTATTAGTGAAAACAAACATCCACGATAATTATATGGCGGGAAATGAAACTGTCAAAAGAAGAAAATCATCTCCATCTCCCCCCCTAATCCCTAATCCCCCCTACCCCCCNCCCCCTACCCCCGCCCCCACCCCGAAAGTTTTAAGTGTAACACAAAGTTGTTCAAACTTTTAAGTGAAGCACATACTTAGTGACCGTTGTTAACACATCTCAATACTACTAAACCCTGTAAGTTTAGACGGAAACACTGATCGCTGTAAGCTCTTTACTACGGAACGCTCTAAATATAATGCCTAGAAGAACATTATGAAAACAGTTTAAGTGTAATCTTATGCTGTTGAACATACTAGGTAACACTAACCCGAACATATTAGTAGTAGCAGTCATTTAAATGGACGTAATGCAGATGCTGAAATAACACAATTTAAATTAAATCTAGCTACATGTATAATGCATACATGCAGGAAAATTATTTAAACGAGATTTCGCTTCTATAATAACTGTGAATAAAGCATCGCCTAGATGGACGCTGACTATACTACAATACGTAATACTGACGTCAGTATAAGATGGACGACCTATGCTAGATAGATCGTAATTTACTGACCTTTTTTGAATTTTGGCCAATCTGCCTGTTCTATCCTGACGTCCTTGTATTCAATTCCAGCCTGAGCAAACAGCAATCTACAAAGCTCGCCACGTGCTCTTATATTGAAATAAGTAAGGGTATACTTTGACTTGGCGGCTGGCTTAGCTGCCGCTGCTCCTGTCTTCGTTACTACCTTAGGTGGCATATTGGAAAGATATGAATTTGATAAAAAAAATGTATCGATATGTACAAGATGTGCGTCCGATTAGGATGTAAAGTTAAATGTGTCAGCTACATACACCTGGGGAGCTTTTATACCCACCATTGCCTAACCTCGCTTTCAAACCCTTTGTTCATACAAACCGACAACCGGTGTTGTTGAATCGCCTTAACAACCACTCGATAATCAAACGATATGGTAACAACTAAACTGTCATTTCTTTCTTGGAAGGAATAGTCATCTTGAATACGCAAAACAAATTTATATATTGAAGTCTGAACACCCGAACTCTCTTTAATTGTACTGTGGTTGTGTGTGTGTATATATTTGTAATGATTACTTCTATGACGCGACCACACTCCGTAAAACTGTGCCGTACTAGTAGTATATTGATGACACTGTCGTACGTATTAAAATAATTATTAATCAAAACATAAACTAAAAAGTTTGATGTTTACTAGCAAGGGAATTTTGTCACTGTTAAATGTGTTAGGAGGGGATTAAATGATAAGAGAAATAAGTATGAAGGATTTCAATGTAAACATAAATGTTTTAGCTATCACACGGCTATCAATAAAAAAGCCTGCAAAACAGTTCCGAGGTCTTGATCTACAGGAAAGGTTTTGTTTATATTGCCAATATTAATTTTTCCCTCTTTCTACAGAAAGTACCTTATTGTACGAAAATGGCCACGTGGTGTAGTTAATATTGTCTTTGTTTGGATTCCTGCGTCTACAAAAGGATCAGATATGTGTTCGCTTTCCTCGTATTTCTAGTGATTATGTTAAGAAACAAGGTTTTGATTATTACGGTACAGCATCTGTGTCTTTGTTTGGCCTTCACCTTGTAGCTGGAATATCTTCTGGTTGACTTTATAGGAAATACTAAGTATACAGAATCTGTCGTAGTCAAAAGTTGTAAAGGTATAACACAATGAAGGGCTTCGTTTAAACCTTTAACTTTCCGCTGTATTCTACATAATATTCGGAACTCTGTGTCTAGACATCATTCTACATAATATTCGGAACACTCTAGACATGGTGTTTTCGTCGAATCCTACATGGACAAAAAAAGCCAATAACATTTCAAACAAGAATCAATAGGTGTTTTCATACCCACTTCTAGCTATTTTTATTTGTCCCTTTTACACTCTTTATTATAGGAGTAATATTAAGCATTAATACACTACTTTCATGACCGAATTGATGTTCGTTCTAACTTTAACAAAAACAACAAAAACAAAAATATCTTAAGTCGTGCACGATGCTATTTACATCTCCTGTCGCATAGACTTTGAGGGAATAAATGTAGGTAGCACACCCTTCGCTCGGATAACGATGTTGTGATCATAATAAACTGTTTATTATAGTTTACTTGCATATTGATTTAAAACGGTTTTATTTTTATCGATGCACACATACTGTCGCACTCTATTATTAGAAAATTAGAAATTTATATAGAAAACTCACAGATTTTACATTTCTAATTGTAATATGTAGACTATGTCATTACATGTGTTGTGATATATAATCCATTTAAGCATATGAACTCGTATTACAGTCTAAATATGAATATATTTGGTAGTACATATCGTTCTAATTCTTATTTTTCAATCTAGCTTTAAGCTTTAATGACACACATGATTGTATTATGACAGAATCAGCAAACCCCCGTGGTACACGTGTTACGGTGGTGACAGTACAGATATTCACCCCACAACACACTTGACACTCGTTGTATGCGTGGAAATAGTCTTTTATTTAACGCAGTACTTATTCGTGTCCCCTCTTGTGTGTATTATAAACTATATTTAAACTCCCACGAAAACATCGAAGGGAGCTACAAAGGCACACATCGCTAATTTCCCCAACAGTCTAGTTTCTCACCGACCTCCTCGTATGTCTACTATAATTTTACTATATGTACACTTGATACTCGTTTGTGTACAGGACAGCTCTCAGAATGTCCGCGATATTTACTTACTATATTCACAATTAGACATTAGAGTTAATATACCCACTCAAACTGATGATATATGCCTCGTAAGCAATAAATATACTGATTTGGAATATATGCTACGGATGTGTGAAGATTATAGTAAAAAATGGAGATTTTTGTTTTCTAACACCAAAAGTTAGATTATGTATTTGAATAAGAAAAAAAAAGTGAAATGTGCTACTAGTTTTTATACATATGATAATATTTTACCGGAAGTGGAAGATATTGTTCACGTTGGTATTATGTTATATAATAAATTCCAAACATATGAACGTACAATGCGTGCTTGTAGCAAATTAAAAAATGGTACAATGAGTTTAATTAAGAGTGGTGCACATCCTTTTGCGTTAAATCCAGTTACTGCCGGAAAACTTATCAAACAAGTTGTATATACGTCAGCACTATATGGTTGTGAACTATGGATTTTATCAAAGAAAGAGTTACTTTTGTTGGAAAGAGCGCAAAGATTTATTTTAAAATCAATTCAAGGTTTTAGCAACAGAACTCGTACTGATATGTGATATGGAATGATTGGATGGACATCCATAGAAAGCTATATAGATATAAGAAAATTGTCGTTTTTTGGAAGGTTGTGTTATTTAGACAAAAATACATTGCCATCACATATATTTTTAAGAAGACTATACGCATCAATGCTGAACAGATCTGGTGACCATTTTGGACTTTTAAATGATATTTTGAGAATTTTTAAAACGTACAATCTTTATAATATGTTGAACAAGTATATTCGAACGAGTTTATTCCCATTAAAACGGCAATGGAAAATAATTGTGAATAAATCTGTGTTGTTGAAAGAGGAACATGATTGGAAAGAACGAATGTCAAATGATAGTGATTTTAACAGATTTGTAATGGTTCATAATATATTGCAACCACATATACTATGGAAACTGGCAATGAAATTCCCGGAGTTTAAAGACTCCATATTATATGCTACGAAATTAATAGTAAACATTCGTACTGGTAAAGCCAAAGAGCTATGTCATAGATGTGGTATTATTTACCAAGATATATTAACTCATATCATATTAAAGTGTAGCTATACTGAACACCTAAAGGACAAGTTGTGGTGATCTATCGCAAACATTAGTGATACTGGTATTCTGCTGAGTGCGTACATACACTCTTTGACAGATCACGAATTAATTCACATTTTAATTGGGGGACAAATGACTTACGAATTAAATGTATTAGACATGAATGAATTTAGATTGAAAACGGTAGCAGCTGTCGAAAAGATGCACAAGTTATACTACCGGTAGTGTGTAGATATAATCTCACATCCTGATAAAGATTAATATAAATAAAATAAAAATAAAAAATAATATGAATGTTTCATATGATATGTATGTATTACCTCATCATATATACACTTATTAATGATATTTATTGAATGTATGACTTCAATGTAATTAAGTCTGTATATGTCATGTATGTTATTTGGTGCTTATGTGTATTCAATGTGATTTTTTGTTTTGTAACGTAAATATGTGCGCATTATTCTGTTTAAATGTAATCTTCAGATTGGAGGAAATAAAGAGAATGATAATCGTTCTAATTCTTATTTTTCAATCTAGCTTTAAGCTTTAATGACACACATGATTGTATTATGACAGAATCAGCAAACCCCCGTGGTACACGTGTTACGGTGGTGACAGTACAGATATTCACCCCACAACACACTTGACACTCGTTGTATGCGTGGAAAGAGTCTTTATTTAACGCAGTACTTATTCGTGTTCACTCTTGTGTGTATTATAAACTATATTTAAACTCCCACGAAAACATCGAAGGGAGCTACAAAGGCACACATCGCTAATTTCCCCAACAGTCTAGTTTCTCACCGACCTCCTCGTATGACCCCTGGGAGAGAGGTCTGGTAGTATACTATAATTTTACCATGTGTACACTTGGTACTCGTTTGTGTATAGTACAGCTCTAAGAATGTCCGCGATATTTACTTACTATATTTACAATCTATAAAACTGTTCTTACATGTCTCGACACATTTTAACGCGTGATCATTAATAATGGTCAATAGAAGGAGGTTTTATGTAAAAACTGCTTATGATGCATGAGCAGCATATAGAAATATTTTTCAAATTATTATTTCATTTCGTGTTCTTTTTTCTCAGAACACAAGCGATTATTAAAGGTGTCAGTAGTTTGAAACACTGGTACATCTAACCTCGCTTTTTTCGTCGTTGGGATTTATAAACTTTACTTCAAATTTTTTTTTAATCGGCAATTTAAAGCATATGCATCTTGCCTTTCCCGTTATTGGTTTCTAGGGGCAGAAGTACCACGCTTTTCCTGTCATTGGTTTTTAGAAACATATGTCGCCCCTAAGTCTTGCACATCTTTTTCCATCTGCGTCTTTTGAAGACTCTTTATTTAAGTTTGACCGTCGAAAATCGACTATTATCACAGAAATCATGGTATTTGGAGCAATCACTTGAATACCAAATCAACATTAGTTTGGAGAATGAGGGATGTTACTACCAAGAAAAGGAAAGCTAACATCTAGAAAATAAAATCAACAGGCTTATCGTACAGTTTAATGGTAGGACATGTCTGTTTGTCACGTTGTTAAAGATCGAAGTCAGTGGCTAGAAACGTTTGTAGTGTCCCACATTTCAAGCTATATAAGACACCGAATTGGCCAATAAAGTTTAAAAACAGCTTATCTTCGATTTCTGAAAGTGAAACTGAAGGACTAGTTTAGATTTCTGATACCAGTACCAATAAGGTTTACAAAATGATACCAGCCTAATATGGAAGAAAAATCCAAAGTTGCACGAATTATGACTAAAGCAATGTCTACAGTTTGCTTGGAAATCTTGCTACCTAACTCAACAAAAGAACGTTGACATAGTGTCTCACGTGGACTCAATCAATCTCACTGTTTACTCTTCATCATATGTCACGCTTCAAATAGTTTACAACCATTTATTTATATCGCCGTTCGGTTATCTATGAAAGAAACAAATCTCATAATAACAAAACAAATGCGTTTTGTTAGGTTTGTTTCAGTTGTTGTAGTGTGCAGAGTCGTAC